TTACAGCTCACACACAGTCGAGCAACAAAAATACATCGGTGATCGTAAGTTGGGACCACCTAATGACGAAAAATAAGTCATAAATTGCGACTCTAATGCTTATTTCCTTGTCCGTCAGAAACTTCTCGAGTACCTATCACTAAACTCCATGTGATAACCCGCATAGGATTGAGGCGCTCAACCGCAATAAAAAAACGAAAATACCGGTGCACGCCAATGTCACGCTATAATATAATTCAGCACTCTCACAGGAGGCCACTGCTCCAGTCTTAGTTTTGATTTTGACAGCATCCTTTTCCGCTTAAGTCCTCAGATATTCCTTGGTTTTGCATAAGCCCATTCTCCTGAACTTTCAAAAACAGCTCATTTTGCGGACTTATTTGCAGTTGTTCGAAAGTCAGTATGTTCTAAGGACTGCGAGGCCAATTTTCCACAAATCGAATGTTACTTATGGTTTCAACATTCTACTCTTGGTGACGGCATATTAACTAAGAAGGATCTGTGTTAGTTGCATTACTAACGCCAGGTGGATACGGAAAGTTTTGTCGGTGCCGATGACATTGTAGTCCGCTGACTCATTACTTCTTATCCAGTGACAGTTATTCTTTCTACGTTCGCAATCTCTTTTCGACAAAATATTCTTATAGTCTGGGTAGTAATCAGGACTCTGAAACTTACTTTCTGCAAACTGGAAGAAGTATAGTTTTTTTTCCCGTAATGCAACTGCGCATGTAAGTTGCGCTTGCCGCTTAGTGCACGAGATAGCAGGATTTCGTTCCGACGGCAGTATACGTAAGTCTCCTACCGCTCAGTTTCGAATGGTAGTGCAAAGTTACAGTAACGATCAGATTGCTATCACATCCCCAACATATTCCGTAGGGTGGGTGAAATGTAGTCTTTCTCCCAACTCGGTAAGACTGTACAGGGCACGTAAAATTGTATGGCCCAAGTTTAAGGACCTGGCGCCGTACTCGCTGCTGTTGCAAAGATCCCACAATTAACTCGACACCGTGCAACTCGAGTTAACACTGGAGGACAAAATGGTTTGATGTTTGAAAAGCGGTCGTCGAACGCATTTACACTAGTCTGAGACAGGCC